TATATATATATATATATATATATATATATATACGAATTCCGCTGATGTCACACATTAGCAAGCATGCATCCAGCTACTCATCTACGAAAGAACTGAAAGCTATTTACTAGAAGACAGCTTCAATAAAGCAACTTATGTAGTTTTGTTAACTATACAAGACCCTAATGAATACTTGGGAGCATGGTAAGGGTTGTACGTAGATTTGTGTGGAAGAGGGCGGTCCAGATTATGCGATGGATTCCAACGTCCCGGTGACCTATGGTCGCCCACAGATAATCAACCGATCTGAAGACAACTGTCATGTTCGATAACTGAAAACTTAGAGGAAACCAAGTTGCCTGCGCTAGCACGCGTTCTCCCCCCAAGCAGATCAACACAGAACTTGCCAATTTTGTGCTAAAAGAACTTTCCGGTCAACAAAGTGAAAGACAGTATGCCAATACCGTTGGGCCCGGGTTTGTTGACTGTACACCCGTTGGATGTCATAAAAACCGTACTGAACATCGTCAGCCATATTACTCCCATGCCATTTTACCTGGTGTACTTGAAGCAATCCGTGCCGCACGCCAAGGTTTTAATACTGTGGCACGGCAAAATAGTGTAGATAGTGTAGATAGTAAACGAAACATGAAGACGCAGCATATCGTAATGTTAGGCTGAGGATGTCGACCGGCTTCAGTGATTATCACAAGTCTACGGGTACAGTTCTATGTGTCCGCTGGCCGCTGCGCGCTGAGGACGTCAAAAGACATCCAGTGTTCGACCATCGATGTCTTCGGAGCATTGCTCGAATCTGGTGGGAACACCGGATCAGCAATGCTGAAGTACGTCGAATGGTATTCGGGAGAAATAACTCACCCTCGATAGATGAACTGATCACGCTTCATAGGTTGCGCTGGCTTGGCCACGTGTTGCGTATGCCAGTCGACCAACTTCCTTGAAGGGCTCTTTTCGCACAGCCACGCGAATGGTGGAAGAGGGCCAGAGGCGGTCAAACAATGACTTGGCGGCGAAGTATGAAGGCCATTACCAGCAAACTCAGCTGCACTGGTCATTGCCGTCTTCCTGGATGGGCACCCCGATACGGTCCACATCAATGGTTGGAGACATTGTCAGATATGGCTCAGTCGCACCCGCACTGGCGCTCGTGCATCCAAGCTATTGCCTTCAATGCATCGCTCTCTTCCCAATCCCCCCACTTGACAGCCCACTGACACTGCTGGATCTATGGCCCAATTTATCAGCTCCCGCCTGCAACGCGCAGCTACCTCCCCCTCCCCCAAACCATCGCTGAACGAAACTGCGGCAGCTACAACCTCTGTACGGCGAGTACGCGGTTATTACAGCTGACAATGATGATGCTAACTTCCTTCAGCGTACAGCACTAGAAGCTACTTTTATCGAGAACACTTATGTTGACAGCAAGGAATCTTCATTAATATGAACATTCAGCATTTGTTAGTCGAACAGATTGAAACAAACGTCCCATGTCCGAAGACTCAAACACATACATATACAAGATGTTATCGACTGTCAACGATGTCGATTGTGCCAACGACACGGCCATCGTCCGGAGGACTGCAGTCGACCTGCTCCAACTTGCACAAAGTCCCAGGTCGAGCTTTCTACTGAGAATAAATTTAAAGAAAATCTGAAGGTCGCTATGCTCCTCAGCGATCATCTAATAGGTAGGGTAAAAAACTAGGATTCCACGTCATATTTATGAGTTCGACCAAAAGGACGAAGCTTTAGTGTTTCTAAGCAGTAGAGTCCTAAAAACGTTTAGATCTATGTTGACCGCTCAGCAATGAGTAAACCTCAGTAATGCACATATAAACCTACCGTTCAGAATTCGCCGGTCTACTTGTCACCGGCTTGATTATTAACAATTCTTCGAATAGTTGACTCATGAGGAAGATCAGACCCGCAGTAAATTCGGTCAACGTGTCAAACAGTTTGGTGAGGAAATGACCACCTACGTGAAAAAAATTGTGCATGATGTACTTCGATGCCTTCACAGCTGGTGTGGAAAGTATAATAGCAAGCACAAAGCAACAAGCTAGGTAAAACAAACTGAAAAAATGTCTCCTGAATGATTAAAAACCATACAAATTATTTGAATATATAACTTAGATGCAATTTGATGCTTTTAGCTCAGCAGAATCAAAAAGCTGCATGAAAACTTACCGGGTTGTAAAGTTATCAAGGCACACAGGCACTGGCAGAGATAGATTCGTTTGGAAAGAACCTCCTGTAAATTATCTCGACCAGATACATCAAAGCCCTGAAACAAGGAGGAAAGTGATTAAGGAAAGTTGTGCAAAAAGATGACGAGAATACTAACCTGATCCTCAATTCATCGCTTGAATTTCAAGTGGACAAAATATTTCCAGGATATACTGAATGTTTAAGGTCAGAGCACCGGGGTGTGAAACATGATCCGTCGACTTAGCCAAATAATTGTCTAGCCATTGGTGTATATTTCGAGTATTTTGCCTGAATACCTACAAAATTTCGCGCGCAGAAACTTGATAATTACCAGAATAAGCTCCATTCTGATAGGATGATGCAGAAAAGATGGGGGAGGGGGCAAATCTCGGAAAGCTCAGCTGCGCAAGCTGGCTAATGGCTATAATAGCCTGTAATTGTTAACTGAAAAGACACGCGTCCGGTTCCTCCGTGTCGAGTTGATGAAGTAAAGATAGAGTGCTCGTACGGCAATATTTCTGTCATCTAATCACAGTTGTGTTTAGGACATATGAATTCAGGACACCTCAAAAAATCTGGTTCTCGACCTCAAAACACAGATGGCCCAACCCCCACAACAGATATTACTTACCGCAAACGAGCCCTTATATCTTGGTTAAAACCTGTAGTTTAACACCACCTCTATCCACCAGATAGCTGAGTGGCTCCACTGTAAAAGTAGAGGCATCCCATATGGGGAGATTCACAATGGCTTTCCTAAAAATCCAAATGTCAAACTCAGAACACTGTGTAAATAATCGACCTATGGAAGGATAACTGGAAAGACAATCATGCATTCAGCCACCCGACGAAAGCTCCCCTAATTCGACCCGGGTTCGAAAGGTCCGGCATAGGTTATTCCGCTTGTCGTGCTGAAACCTAGTGAACAACCCCAATATATCTCGGCTAGTAAAATTTTAATGAGACCAGACTGAAAATTTCAGCTCGTTGTAATAAGGTATGGGTGAAAAACGAGCTTCTAGCATGGAAGGAACCAACACAGCTAGCAGTCACTTTGTTAGAAATGAGTGAGGCTTTTTAATAGAGTGAAGTTAGCCTATGCTGAAAAGCCGAAAAGCATTATACAGTTGTTTCATCATTGTTGTGAATTAGCAGCAGCGCGCATCTCACGAACTTTTGGGTAGATTCGAACATTACCAATGGGCCCAAGGGTGCCTAATTAAGAGTGTAGTTAACTCGCACTTAGACAGGAGATAGCACCACTCACCCTTCAACCAAGCGATCTACATAACGTGGCCACGTATTGACTATTAAGTCAGTGTAAACAAAATACACGCTAGAAGTTTTATTATCCTGCCCTTAGTTGGTATCAAATCCAAACGTTTTACTTTCGACGCCTTGCACCAAACTCGATGGTCCTTACACTTCACCGACCTTCAACGTAATGACGCCAAGATATGAATACTGATTTTACATGGACTTCACATGTACATTTTTGTGCTACTTGATGGTGCAATTTTTCTGCCTAGGCCAAACCCACATACTATGTGACAACATTATTTAACTGAATGAGATGCGCCAATATTAAATGAGCCCTAATACCCAAGAAGTTGTTCGCTCTCAGTGGTTTTAAAGAAGTAGATGTGTCAGTGTCATCGGACAGCAATAATAAAGTCACAAAAATGTCTCACCTCATTAGAGTACGTGACCAAACGACTGTGTTTTAATATCACAGCATGACAATAACAAAAGTCTACTATATGATATTTCTGTTACAATTCTGTTTGTCTTATGAATTCCTCATGAGTTCCCGTCTTATAAACAAGTATATAGTTAAACCTACTCAGAAAGGGGAAAAAGGGAAACATGCAGGCTTACTCCGTCAGCCACAATGACGTGCACTCCCTTGCGATCTGTACTTCGTGCGATTAGAGAGGCAAATGAGGCAAGATTTCTCCACTTCGTGATGTCTCCATCCTGGTCTGGACCATAATGTGCCAAAAATGCTTCACAAGGTCCGGCTAAAAAATCGCTTTCCCGAAAGTCGCAGGATCCTATCAGGGTCAGTCCAAATCCCTTAGCGTTCAGTTGCGGAACAGTAGAGTCTTTTTGAGTCGAGTTTTCTTGTCCCGAAACTCCACCACATGAGCTGAGAGAGCTCGCATTGCATCGACGCCACAAAAGGTACTCGGAAAAGCCTCCAGGACCGGCACAAACATCGGCGAAGTATAGGATAGACTGCAACGCGAAAGGCACAGTAGAGTACAGTTCTGAGCGAGTTAATTCGACAGCTCTTAGTGCCACTGACAACACAAAACCTATTTGTAAAAAGACAACGGTGTGACTTGTGCAAAGGGAAAGACGAGTCAAAAATAAAATCGGCATTTGAACTGTTTCCCCCTAATTTCCGATGCGTTTCGCAAATTCATAACAGAGAAACTGTCAGATGGAGCGCAGCTCAAGTCTTTTACTCCAATCACGGTTATGGTGAAACGTTTAGTTGAACTGATATGTACTGCTGATCTATAACTTAGTGGCACCGTAGACAACAAGAAACAACCACAAGCAGCACCAAAATTCTCCCGCTAACAATCCAGTCACAAATGACACGTCATTACACACATTTCAGTGTGTTTACGACAGCTAACGCACAATAGAATACCATATGATAGCTCGCGGAAATACCGACTGAACACTTGAAAAATTCGTTAGACTAATGCCCAGCAGTTTACTTACCTCTGTCTGGTTCCATACACTGCTATTTGTCGTAAACAGTTCACCTCACTCCTAATTCAGTGGAAAAAGTAATCCCGAATGCATAAAATTCTGGTATTCCATTTCGGAGATCCGGATTTGACCCACCACAGAAATTCACAACTTGACAACCCGTGCACCTGGTGAGGTCAAACATCGCACTCAATATCTACCAAATCTTTTTTTAGTGTCAATGTCTGTTCCTCTGTGTAAATAACACCACGTGTTGACTAACGGCGTCAAGACTTCCAACCCCACTACATGACACTAACGGGAGCTTTTCTCATATCAGATGGCCGCGGAGGAATCGAACATATGTTGCCCCAGTTGACCGAACAAAGGATCATTTTTACCAACTACTCAAGTAGATCGATGGGTGTAAACCAAGGCAACATATTCGCGAATATACACTCGTTTGCAAACTAATTTGTTTTTTTCGAGAGACTCACCTGGAACCCAGCTGAATCTCTCATGTGTGATGTTCTCAGGCAACTGAATGTGCTGCAAATGTTTGTAGAGTGTATATTCGCGAATTTCGTGCAATTTGGTTTCAAGTAGAACATAAGGTTGACGGAAACCCGGGGACTGCGCCTACCTGATGAGCCCCAAAAAGGGCGAAACCGGTCGTGGGATGTCGACGGATTTTCAGCAGCCTTATGAGTAGTACATTAAAGATATACATGCATCGCGATATCTTGGATATCGTAGCGACTGAAACATGAGGCGGCTTGGTGCAGCACATTCAGTTGCCTGGGAACATCACAAACGACAGATTCAGCTGTGTTCCAGGTGAGTCTCTCGAAAAAAAAAAATTAGTTTGCAAACGAGTGTATATTCGCGAATATGTTGCCTTGGTTTACACCCATCGATCTACTTGAGTAGTTGGTAAAAATGATCCTTTGTTCGGTCAACTGTCGAGTGATTCTGATAACCATCTGACTACTGGCAAGTAGTCGAAAAGTTCCGTCGCAGAAGACCTGATGGTTACCAAGTCACGCGCCTGGAATTTTACAGCAAGTTTGGGATATAGCCGGGGCCCGATCTCCAGCCGGTTGAACTAAAAATCACATCCCAAATTCTAATCTATCAGGCGCCTAAACTGGTCGCTAGATGCTTATGCTTATGCTAGATGTTTATTAAATTCACGCGTCAGGTCTCCCTGCGTAAGAATGAGAGAACTCTCGCATCTGAAGCTTTTGGAATCCGACCAAATCCGATGAAATTCGGGGCTCATGGCTTTGTACTTACCAGGTCCTCCAAAAGCATCAACGACTAGTCAAAAGAAAGTATCCAATCAATTACTGGCAGTGAGATGATTGTCTGGAATGGTCAGTACACTTTAAATAGCTTTAATAGCTTAGGAAATGTGTGATGTGGATAGCAAGATGTTTTTCACAGGAGAAGGTGAAACCCGTCAGACGTGACATATTATGGTTGATAGGCTTTGTTTATTCAACAGCTTTGCAATGCATGTTAACCACGACAGTCTTAGTTGCTTCCTATTTTATATACCCAAAGATCGAAGGTGGTCCAGCATTAATTACAGCACTACGTGATACCTCCAACTGTGATGATAGGGCCACCAGCCAAAATCAATAAAGGCTAGGCATCGAAAAGGTGTTACAGCTGAACGATTTTTGCGAAAGTCGATTGGATAGGCTATTCATGTCGCCATAAACTCCAAGTGTATGATGTATGCACGATAACCATAACTCACCGTTTTCGGGACTGCATCCGTGAAAAGCCCATCCAGTAGAGCATCTATGTTGGCCAATTTCATAGCAGCCCTGAAATGTAAGTGATGAATAAATGCACCAATTGTCTTTCGTTTTGAACAGATCACTGGTGGGCTGGAGCGATGCAGTTCGTTGTTTTGTAGCATGCGGTTTAGGTTCCGCAACATAAGGATACGAACAATATAATCGGGATTCAACAGAAGAAATCGGTTGACGCAGAAGATCATAACTGAGCCCAGATAAACAAAATCGCACAGTAAATGACTTACGCCTATTGAAATACCGCGGACAACACTTCGGGAACTTGGCAAGACTCGTTGTCCTAAGTTGGTTGGGTTAGGTCGCCCGTTTCACAAATAGCCTAGTTAACACTGTTTTCTACCAGACAAAGTGGAAACATAGTTCAAAAGAGCTAAGGCTGTCCCCCAGAAGAAAGTGCTCTTCATTTGCCCTGCTGATTTTTCATGGAATTTCTCACATGGAATTTCTCACATAGAGCTTTCCAGCCACTTACAGCCCTTCGCCTTCCGTACGCTGAGTCGGGCGAAGTGAATCGGCACCGTTCTAGCAGATATATCGACTTTTAAGAGTGGGATTTTAAATGAGCTGTTACTAACCGTTTCGTTTACAGCTTACAGTGTCATTGAAAATTCGTTAACGTTTGACTGCTGCTTTCGTGATGATAGGTATAAAGCGAGTTGTTGATAGATTACGACTGTTGCATGGGATATAGTCAGCTTGCGGCAACTGTGGATGGATGTTCTATAGATCGAGAAAAATGGATGAGCGTGATCTAAACATTGACAATCCTGTATACTTTGCTACGTGATCTAGTTGCCTAGTTGGTTCAACACGATGGCCTCGAAGTGTCACGATATCGCCTTTGTATTGGAAAGCTGTGTTGGATAAGTAGAGCCTGTAAGAACCACATCGGAACAGTCCGTCACTATGGCTTGTTCGCGTCCCCAGACACGGAAGATACAGCGTAGTGGCTCCTCCTCTGCGAAGAACTAGTCGGGTTCCGATTCCAGCCATAAATCCAAAGCCAGTCTATTTTTCGGCATGGAAGAGCATATCTACCAGACTCTGAGTCATCTTTACTGGAGCGCGATTTAATACGATTGGCAGGGTGTGCTTAGTAGGTCGGTGACCGGAAACTTTACTCTAAGTAACCAGTTACCAAGTGATACGCTGATCTAAGGGATCAAAACATTATCAGCACCAATGACGTCATGGAGAAGAATAAACCGGTAGTGGACACTGGTGAACAGCTGCCACACAGCCATAGAAGAATACTCAAGTAAGAAGTCAAGGAAGTCGGTGGAAATTAATTGCAAAAATCGATATGTTCTCAGAAAGAGCTGCCAAGATCAGAGTGCTTACACCTTCCAAGACCACTAAACATACCTGGAAACCACGCTAAAGCAAGACGATATCAGTAGGTTCGACTCAACATTAGTTAGCTCACCCGAGATTAGCCACCCTATAACGACAGACAAACTTTAGCTAGGCAGTCCAGCCAGGAAGTGACAACAAGCTCATCATGAGATTGGATACATGCATTTTCTGTAGGATTCCCAACCATGCACATGGAGAATCACACGGATCCAACCAAGAAGCTGAGATCCGCTGGCACCCAAGTTGGTAGTAGTCGTTTCACTTCACGTTTCAAGGTTCTCCACCTCCTATCACGAATGGTCGGGGAACGAAAACACAGCGTTATTAAGTTGTCAGATCCCAACCATCTAAACATGACATATCATCATCATCATCATCATCATCATCATCATCATCATCATCGACAGCATGACATCAGTGTTCAACACCGATGCTTCACTGCCGTAAACATGACATCTAAAGCCGACTCGTTGGCTAGTGATCGCTCACGGACCATTTCATTAGAGAATTGCCGCAGCCACCTAAAGCGTGCGATACCACGAAAACATGTGGAGATTATTGAGATCTTCAGATTAGTAGATACGGCCGCACACATGAGAAATTTGCAGATGACAGAATTTCTAACGATGATTCCGCCTTGATTGTGCATCCATTGACCTCACCAGACACAGTGCAGCCACTGCGTATGCAACTGCCAAGTAGAGGTACGAACAAACCCAAACTTCCCATTCTTAGATTTCAAAGAGATAAAAGGAAGTGGAAAATCTTGGAGTAAGATTGTACAGTATGAAGGGGTTAAGGTCAGGGCGACAAAGGGGATAAATTCTACTTGGACTAGCATATACAGATGCATGATCGTCAAAAGAACGGGGGAAACGGTCGTTGCGTTCCCAAGCCCAGTTGTCGCCCCGGATGTGATTTTGGTAGCCAGGTTAACAGATCCTTGCATAGAAACGAAAAATAAGGTAGGATAACCTTGGTGAAGCCTAGTAGTTGGGAAGGAACTATGGGATAACTCAATATGAGTCTCAAAGCGACCAGAAGCAGGGCATAAACTTCAAGCCATAAACTTCAAGCAGATGTAAAAGAACCAATCCACCACCGAGTGGAAGCCCCTTTCGGAAAACATCTACAGGTAGTGGGTGATTTTTAGTTGACGTAATTCGATGTAGTCAACGCAGCCCTCACCTAATCGGACTTGGTGAATTCAGGATCCAAGTATAATTAAAGCTAGTGGCCCCAGGGTTGGATAGGTCACTTCAGGCAAGTTTTTTTGGAGAAAAGGTCCTTGTTTCCTGGGACACACTTTTGTTGTCAAACCGGTTCAAACAACCCGCTCAGGGTGAAAAAAAGAATCACCGCTATTAAATAACACTGGTGAGAGCTCATCTGGCCCTGCGACTCCACGACGCTTTAAGGCGGGAATCCGAACCAGTGGTGGGAAACTCATAGACCCTCAGTCGAGTTAAGCAGATTGAATGAAAGACATGCGTATAGAGGCAGATGGTTGAGAAAAACTGCTGTTGGGAACAATAAACCCAGCGGCCAGTGTTGATCTGTTATAAATTCTAATCAGTATCTTCGATTTTTCCGGGATCCAATTTTCTGAGAAGCAGCATTCGAACACCTCCAGCTTTCTCCATTTCTTGGTCCTTCTGATCTTGCAACCGCGCAACCTATGCTTGCTTTGGCATTCAACCTATCCAGCCGAATACCGCTCAGTGTCTAGTTTGGCAGCGACAGTGCCTGTTCTGAGATCCGATTCTCGGAGGATTCTAAGAACATCCTACTTACAATCCAGAGGGAGGCACTGGAAGTTGTGGAGCGTTTTACGTACCTTGGAAGTTGTATTAGTTCTGACCGTAGGGTGACAGATGAGGTCAATGCACGAATCTTCAAGGCTCGGGTCGCATTTGCTAAGTTGAGACATCTATAGCGTCAAAGTGATGTATCCCTGAATTTCAATGGACGTGTGCATCAAGCTACAGTACGGGCTGTTTTGTTGTATGGCTGTGAGACTTAGCCTGTTCAAACAACGGAACTGAGATGTCTTCAAGTGTTCGACAATCGTTGTCTCAGAACCATAGCTCGTGTGGGTTGGTGTCGGCGAATCTGTAACGAGGCAGTTAGAAAGCGCGTTTTCGGTTGTGCAACGGGTACTTCCATTCAAGAATGTGTTCAGAAGCAGAAGCTGCGTTGGTTGGGACATGTGTTGCGTATGCCTAACCATCGTTTGACGAAGAGAGTGCTGTTTTCCATGCCCAATTCAAAGCGGCGGAAGCAGAGAGGTGGCCAAACCTTGACTTAGCAGAAGGTTATGAAACGCTTGGGTGCTGTCGGTGCTACTCGCCTTTCAGGATGGAGACCGCATGATCCTCACTGGCTTGGCTGGAGACGCTGGAAGATATGGCTGCCAACCGATGTCATTGGCAATCTTATTGTCAGTTTCTATCCAGATTGCCTGAATGAGTGTTTGGAAGTGTAGGAACCGAGGAGTGATTGTGGTAAGCTAGCACTAAGTCCCTTCCCCGTCCACCTTTACTCTTTTCTTCACAATACGGCTTTCAAATAAATCATATTTATACGCCAGTGAAGCATCGGTGTTGAACACTGATGTCATGCTGTCGATGATGATGATGAACTCTATCGAAGGAATTCGATTTTGAGTTCCTTCAGGGGAAATGCCTACTCTTTACATCAGCTTTCCACAATGGCCTAAATCTGTGAACCTGGAAAAGCATGAAGGATGTGAAATGAAACCGAGAGGACGTTTACAAATAAGGAGTGTTGTCTACAGGCTGTCCCACTTCCAGACAAATCATGGAAAATCTTAGTCCTAGTAACGCATTCCTTTGTGTAATCTGGGGACTGCATAAAGAACCCCAAATATTCTGCGGAAAAGATATGACACAAAACTCACCTATTCATAAATATTCCTTTTTTAATTTGTTCATAAGGGTTGCACCGTTGATGGCTCTCAGTCACGGACATTTTTGAAACGCTGTCAAGCTGATTCTAGCGGAAAAATAACGAAAAGCAGTGTAAATTAGGTTATCGGGATGAATCCCGACCTAAAGCTGTGTCAAAAGACTTTCAGTGTTTGACCATCGGTGTCTTCGGAGCATTGCCCGAATCTGGTGGGAACACCGGATCAGCAATTCTGAAGTACGTCGAATGGTATTCGGGAGAAATAACTCACCCTTTATAGATGAACTGATCACAATGCACAGGTTGCGCTGGCTTGGCCACGTGCTGCGTATGCCAGTCGACCGACTTCCTCGAAGGGCTCTTTTCGCCCAACCATGTGAAGGGTGGAAGAGAGCCAGAGGCGGTCAAACAATGACTTGGCAGCGAAGTATGAAAGCCATTACCAGCAAACTCAGCTGCGCTGGTCACTGCTGCCTTCCTGGATGGGGACCCCGAGACGGGCCCCATCAATGGCTAGAGACATTGTCAGTTATGGCCCAGTCGCGCCCTCAATGGCGCTCGTGCATCAAAGCTATTGCCTTCAATGCATAGCTCCTTCTCCAACCCCCCCCCACTTGACAGCCCACTGACAGTGCCGGATTTATGCACCAATTTACCAGCTCGCGCGTGCAATGCGCAGCTACCTACCCTCCCCCTCAATCATCGGTGAACGAAACTGTGGCAGCTACAACCAGTGTACGACGAGTACGCGGTTCTTACAGCTGACAATGATGATGATGATATCGCGATGAAGGTACCTGGAATCTACCACAACAAATCGTCTACAACGTTGAAAACTGCATCTGAAAAAAAAATAACACTGACGAAACGCTAGGCGTTATTCAACAGTGTACAACTAATTGACAACTAATTGTCGACGTAGTCGTACCAGAAGAAGTAGTCTGGTACAAAATGCAAAAATTTACACCACATTATCGGTAATACGTGTTGGACGATTTCCAGGAAACAGAAAACGGTGATTCATCTGAGGTGCGGGTAAATTCAGTTTCATCATACTGAGTAAAAGATAAACGGATACCATTATCAAAAATCAGCACGCCTGTATGTAAATGGTTAGCAACTGATCATGAATGTTACAATAATAAAGCCATTTCCTTGTTTTCGCGGATGTGGCGGAGTATCAGTCGTTATTAGCGTCTAAATAAGAATAATCTATATTGAAAATAACTCTCGAAGGGTTTCATTTCAGTTCTGATGGAACAAGGGACCGCATTGACAAGGAAAACCAATGTCTGCCGAGGCAAGATGGCGCAACCCGTTTGATCTAGATCAAATCCCAATGCCCTTTTCATTTGGCAAGTGACTTAAATCCTTCGGATAACGGAATTCGTTGTCATGTGTCGGATTCAATAGATGCCAGTTTTGCTTTAGCGTTATTGGTAACGTTTGAAGAGATCGGTTGGTACAAGAAAACTGCAGTTTATATTTTTTGCACAAATTGATCGTGGCGAACGCGTAACTTTCAATCTAAAGAGGATTTCATAAACATCGAAACCGAAGACTTACGACAATGTACGTTGATAGAAAAAATAAACCATCACAACCGCTGCCACCTTGCGGGCCTCCATCACCTGATTCATCATCAAAAACAACCAAGGTTGTCAGATGTTTGTGCGTCTCTGCTGATTTTGTCACAGCCATATTATCCTCACTGCGCAAAAGCTGCGGCATGAGTTCAAATGAGCAAACACTCATCATGGCAACACGTCTGCCCGATACATATCTCCGGTCGACTATTTCCGTTTCATGAGATAGTCAGTCTGAGATGAAAGTAAGTATGACGATACATCGCATAGACATAATGCATTGTGTTCCAGGTAAGTCTCCCGTCAAAACCAAACTGGTATGTAAATGGGTATTATGGTCAGTATGACAATATTAACGAACATCCAGAATGAGCTGTTAGAGTAGCAGTAACATACCCGCCTTGCACATCAAGGGTCCAAGGTTGGAATTAAACCGCGACGAAGGATATGCACTCCTCTCATAAGAACAAAAGCACAGTAAACTGCCACTCCTCTCTGGCCTGGACTCACCCAAGCCACTTTGCAAGAACTGGAAGAGAGCTGTTCTAACGAGGGTGATTTGAGTAAAAAATAAAAGGAGAGTTTTTCCAAATTGTCGTCTCGCCTCAGTACGTTTGCACCTGGTGGTCTCAAAGGTCTTATATACCACACCTGTGCTCCTTAGTGAGTAAATAGATACGAAGGAAAAAAAACTAATGAGGTGGAAAATGATGCTTGCATCGATAAACAAAACTGCATGTCACTACCAACCGTTAAGCACCTTCAGAAACCCAGCCGCAAAGTTCGGCAAGTATGACACACTCAGTAAGGTATACTTCTGGAGCTCTGCGTTTAATGCTCCAGCGCGAACGTGAATTTTCCAGATTCGGTACTAACCATTACTTCAGTTCATATTAACTGCCCGTTGCTCGTTGTCTATCTATACAAGCCGAATCCACTCTGGTTTCTGGTAGAACGGGCGTTTTGCGCAGTAAAGTACAGTGACCCAATAGTACAAACGCTTTTCATTTTCTGTTAACCATATATACAGGAGAAATGCAAACCAGCGGGTAAAACATAACAATTCGTTCTCCAGGAAGACTATGCCAACGAAAGTATTTTGACAGGACAATCAATATGCATACAACAAAGACCGGTTCGACAAGGACATGTTCATCTTTACATTTGATTCAATGCTTACTTTATAATTGATCATCTCTCTTAACAAGTGCGCAGAACAAAATTGCGATTGATGATCCATTTCGCGAATAGGTGGACCCAAAGCTTGAGGATCGTTTGGAGGAAGGATAAATGCGTGAAGAGTGTCGGGTGGACGAGGTTTCTCAGGTGACTGGAACCTGCTCCAGCACCACAACTTGTCACCATCCGCGGACGCCTCATCGCATCCCTCAGTCCACACCAGCAATGGATCGGTTGAGTGGATGACAGTACCCTGAGGAACGCAGGGTTCGTCTGATTTTGGTACCAGCCCCAAACCACGCCGACCCTTTTGCTTGCTGACAGCCACTGGTTCCACGAGACCTTGTGCATTGACACCCAGGCCCTCTCCTGGTTTGTAACCCATGTTGCGCTATGGAAGAACGGGATCGACAGTTGGAAGATTAGTCATGGGAAATGCGAACAGTAACGAAGGTAACAGGGCACCTTAAGCTATTGGTTGGAAAGAGATTGCATACTATCCTAAAATTGACAATCTGATTACCCTTTAAATGGAGATTCTTTTCCGTCAGTGAAGCCTATCTACGTCAAGAAGCATTGCTGGGAATCACCAGCAGTGCACACCTCAAGAAACTCCGAGTTTCGAACCCGCGAGCTTCTGGTCAGTGGTTAAACATTTGACACTTTAGCCACGAGCGGTGATCAGCAATGCGATTACCTCTCAGTTAGACAGCACCTATCGCCACTCAACTTCCAATCACAGAAACCACATCCCGTGGTTACGTGCTGACGGGGTCTTCAAGCGACGACTTCTCTGACGGAAGTTTCATTCATCTTGTGAAATTATTCTCCCACTGAGCTACGTAGTGATCGACGTGGTGATGAGATGATATTCGATAATTTTGAACAGATTCCGTCCTATCAGTGAAGCCAGTCTATGCTGATTGGATTACCGCCTAAATCTTTGGGTTCAGTTACCAAGATGTATCGATTTTTTTAATCACAGATGTGGATTACAGAGAGCGAACTCATGACCTGAGTCGCCCTGTAAATAAGGATAAAATAAGGAAAAGACTACGAATGAAATAACACACCTCAATATACACTGAGATGGACATTAACTTGGCTTTTGAATAAGTGATTACATAGGTTAGGAAAGACAGTGGCAAAGTCCCAAAGACGGGATATTCCTGAAAAAAGATGATGAGAAAGCAGCTATAAAGCTGCCACCTTGAAAGGACTGGACGTTGCTGAGTTAGATAAGTCACAATCGAGGATACTGCCAATGAGTGTCCAGGGCAGTAATGGCTTGTGGTCGATCATCGTAGTTGGGGTAAAGTAGCGTGTCTGAAGGAGTATGACAGAGGAGCGCAGAATAGCGTCATCTGCAAAATCATGGATAGAAATGTTGACGGTGGATAGGAGACTGTTCACATAGAGGATGGACAATGTGGAGAGCATAAAATCTTGGGGAACTCCGACGCTGTTTTTAGAGTTCGAGGGACAACACCATCCATTCTTATTTTCACAGAACGGTTATGCAAGAGACTTTCAAGCAGTCACGTCTGAATGCTGCATGTACAGTGAGAGCCTAGCATGGAGATCTGCGTACCACATCTAATCAAGTGTCCCCGATACATCAAGGGCACCTGCCTTCGTTTCACCGAAGAAGTTCAAAAAAGAAGACCAAATTGTGACGCGCAAGCCAAAATATTACCCGTAAATCGGTGGCCTCTGAATCACGAGAAAAAACAAAAACTGCACCAAAAAGAAGGAATTCCGCTTGTTACTTTCGACAGCCGGGCCCTACTCGGTTCGAATAATTAATCTTTGACTCTGTCTACCATGGATGAACAATTAGCAAAAGGTACAAAGGTATCGTAACTATCAAAGATTTTATGCTGTTTACGGAAAGATCACTCGGAAAATTGTCCATCATATTGATGGGGACCAACTTATGCGACTCGATTTTGAACCGTTAAATTTAATCCGCTTTATCCAGAAAACAGTGTAAAGTCAGCGCAGGACGAACAAACTAAAGAAACTGAGCGTCACTCACCATCATTTTCCATGCCCGCTCATCAATAGCCTCTGTGGCCTGGAAGAAAAGTTGCACAAGAAAGTCGGGATGTGCTATGGTGGGATGCAGAAAAGACGTGGAACCAAAAAATGCTTGCACCTGAATTAACTTTTAGTGAAAGCAATAAGAGAACTGACCACGTGCAATGCTCCCCATCATAAAGAACGAGCGCTCTCAGGACATTCCAGTCACGCCTTTCGAAATGGAATTTTATTTGGAGACACGAGCTTACAAACATGTGGTAAGGAACTTTCACTGAGTAGCTTCTCGGAAAAAGAGCAGAAGAAATAATGTGCAAACTCAATGATCCTCTTCGAATAAAGTTTTTTATCAATTGCGGTTGACCAAGTAATTAAGGTTTTGGACCTGCGGTTTGGCCGCTTGTGGTGGGTGGATGAGATGGATATTTGTAGCACGCCGCGTACCCGGTAAATGGACAGGCGATAACTACCGATCGCGATAGACACAAAGAACCGCTTGGTAAAGCTTCACTTGTAGTAGGGATTGCTTCGCTTTCTAGTCCGTGCGATAAGCTTTCCATGAAAATGGTACCGTCGTTCGGCTTAGCTTTTGACCCAGAGAACGCTTAACAAGGCTGGCATACTCGTCCAAAATAGCATCCGCGGGAAGGCATTTGACGACCACTATCATCACTCTGCGAGGATTCGCCTGAGTACACTATAATGTTGCGAAGAGCCCCATTCGCCAAGCATTTGCTTATGCTTATGGTCGAAACACCCTCTCAGGTTCAGCAAGCCGAGGTAGTGCCTTAGCACAAGTAAACAACCCTTCGTTCGGCCGTAACACACTTTCGGTGCCCAGGTGCCATGCCACCCGAAGGAAGACGAGGGATGACGACCACTATCATCACTCTGCGAGGATTCGCCTGAGTACACTATAATGTTGCGAAGAGCCCCATTCGCCAAGCATTTGCTTATGCTTATGGTCGAAACACCCTCTCAGGTTCAGCAAGCCGAGGTAGTGCCTTAGCACAAGTAAACAACCCTTCGTTCGGCCGTAACACACTTTCGGTGCCCAGGTGCCATGCCACCCGAAGGAAGCACGAGGGATGTGATGCTACTAGGTTGCCCAAGTCTAGACAGAAGTCGAGACGCAGACCATGGACTTTGCGGTTAGTAAATTCGCGTTTCAACCACTGAGCCATCTCGCCCCCAATAATCCTTTTAAACAAAGGTACAGTTGCAGAGACGTCCTCTTGAGTATTTCTTATATGCTCAAGAAAGTCTATGGGTCAGTTTCATGACATCCAGACTCATGAATCCAGTTGTTGCTCTTCAGCTGATGTGACGGGTGGCACGAAGCATAGTCTGACTTGAATCAACACGAAGTGCAAGTGGGCCACACAATTATCAGTTTTCCTCTTGTGTTTGACCATTAATAATAAGCGGAGGAAGTCAAGCTCCGAATATCCTTTATTCGATTCGTGCATTTCGTTTCGATTCGTCTTGTACTCAATTTGGTCGATATCAACGTTCTTGGAGCATTTCCATCGATTACTTTTTCCGCATGAGCGATAACTTTCCGTCGCATCGCACATCATTATTAACGAAAGCCGATCAATCGCAGTCTTGGTTTTGACAGAAACATCCTCTATATGGACGAGATTTTGTGAAGAAGTTCTGAAATAAACGCATAACGGGATTGTGGGTATCACCTAATCTGTAGTTAATCACAAAGTTCAAGCGGGACTACTGACCGGTCCGTAAGGGTTTCGTTTGAAACCTCTACGCCCACCCAGTTAAGAGCCAATGAACACAAAATAGTGCTCTTAACCCAAACGGAGTCTTGATGGCTTATGGTGGAGCAATTTTCATTGGTTTTCTCTCGCAAAATACACCATAGGGTGGGATTCTTCAAGTGTTCCCAAAAGCTGCACAGTGACTTCGACATTAACCCCTCAGTTCCACTTTCAAATTATGCGTCCCTTTCTCATGATAGGGCTGTACATCTGGGTATTGCTAATAAGATAACGGTTGGCTAAGTGGCTGGCTGTTCTGCGCTTTTTGATACTATCTGTTATAGCTATCCTGCAAGAGGGAGGAAGGACTTTTAGCTCTCCCTGAACTTAACAACTACGAAGCCGGTGATAAAGGTGAAACCAACAGCTAACCTCACTTCAGTGAGGGAGCTGATTTCAACTCGAGCATATGCGAACAGGCGTGTGCTGCTAACAAATGTCTGAGCTCTGATATAATGGAACGACCTTAATATCCCCCAGCACCGTAAAGTTGATGGATTTTGGAGGGACGGGCAGTGTTTATTGTGAAACCAGCTGCCACTTAATGGAACAGTTACGTTTGTGGTTCAGTTTGTCGGTTAACGTCATACCAACTCCTCACTTCACCTTTATGCCGTTTTTATTCCGAACATGGGTAAGCGAGTAGGGATCATGACGTATAAGGCTCTCCGAAGAATAAAGTGCGTGGTCGCGACAGGGTAGACTATTGACTAAGTGACTGGCCTAGCGTGAAGGAGTGTTTTCCACTTAAAACCACTCAGCGTAGCTCAGCAATGTTTATTTAATGTTTCTGGGACTCGGAAGGTCCTTCGGATATCTCGATGGTCAGATGCCGGGCAATCTTTTGAACTCACTCAGATTACAGGGCATTCTGTAATGGCATTCTAGACACTTCTGCATATTGTGTCCACAAAGCAGAGAATGTCTTTGACAAGCTGATTTCCTCTACCCGCCACTTCGGATTCATTTTATTCTGAAAGAATTCGAAAAGGATGCCGAATTGAGCAGCCAACGAACTCTTTCTAGGTGCGCTAAGGACAAAGTAGTTTACAATTTACCACCAAGCCATCTAAAGTATGCCCATCCAGTAAAAGGCAAGAATGAAATCCCATACGATCTGCGTGCACACTACCATAAAACGAAGAAAAGCCGGATACTAAGGCAACGCCTTCCGTCTTCATAATGTCCAAGGTCGGATTCACTCAAGACAGCACGTTCGAAGAAATCCCATTAGTTTAAGTCTAAGTATCTCAATGTGGAGTGACGTATCCGACCAACATCATCATCATCATCATCATCATC